AGGAGGAAGGAAGTGGTGGGTCAGAAGAATTATCAGGGTTAGTTGGCGGCGGAGAGGAGGAGGAAGAGGCAGACGGAGGGACGATGGTTGGTGCAGTTCGAGAGGCGCAGTTAATCCGAAGATGTCCAACAAGTCCGATTCGAGCCCGGAATGTCCGTTGACATCGAGGACACGTTGGAAGCGGTTGTGCGGCGGCGTTGCGCACTGGGCGAAGTTCTGATTTGCGGGCTTCACGTTTCGCTTTGGCGGCAGCGATGCGGTTGGCTTCGTAGATCGCAGCGCCTGTCTTCACTGTCCTCCTCCAGGTCGGTCGATCGAGTGCGAGCTCCTCCCAGTTGGTCGGGTTGATTTGCAGGCATTTCAGGGAGGACTTCAGGGTATCCTTGTAACGGCGAATTTGACCTCCTTGACGGCGAGAACCCGTCGAGACGTCTCCGTAGAAGAGTCGTTTGGGTAGTCGCTCGTCGTCCATGCGCACAAGGTGGCCTCTCCAGCGCAGCTGAATTTGCCTCAGTATGGTGTAGATGCTGAGGATTTCCGTCCGTTCCAGCACATCCGTGTCGGGGATTCTATCCTGCCACTTTAGCCTCAGGATGCGACGAAGACAACTGAGGTGGAAGTGGTTCAGACGACGTGCCTGCTTTGCGTACACCGTCCAAGTCTCCGCTCCATACAGTAGTGTCGGCAGGATGACGGCCTTGTACATCTTCAGCTTCGTGCTCAGCTGAAGACCGTGGCGATTCCAAACTGTGCTTTGGAGGCTACCGAAGGCTTGACTGGCTTTCGAGATCCTGTTGGCGACTTCTTCGTCGATCTTGGTGTTGCGGGAGAGAGTACTGCCCAGGTACGGGAAGTTCTCTACCACTTGCAGTTGGGTCCCATTCACGCTGATTTGCGGCGGCGTGTTGTGGGCTGTGACTGAATGGGGTGGCGGTTGGTGCATCACCACCGTCTTCTGTGTGTTGATGACCAGACCGAAGTTCTCGCAGGCGGCGGAGAACAGGTCCGTGCTCCGTTGCATCTCCTCTTCCGAGGTGGTGTTCAGGGCGCAGTCGTCGGCGAAGAGGAGTTCGTGAACGGTGGTTGTGGATACGCGCGATTGGAAGTGCATCCGCCGTTGATTCAGGAGGTGACCGTCCGTCGTGTAGGCGATGCGGATCCCGGGGCGTTCGTCGCGGTAGGCGTCCATCAGCATGGCAGCGAACATAAGACTGAAGAGGGTAGGCGTCAGTACGCAGCCCTGCTTCACTCCATTGGTCACTGCGAATGCCTCTGAGACAGCTCCGTTGTCCGTGACTCGCGCCATCATACCGTCGTGCGGCTGACGCACCATCTGAGTGAATCGCTCCGGACAGCCGAATTTCTGCACGATCTTCCACAGTCCTTCACGATTCACCGTGTCGAAGGCTTTCGTCAGGTCCACGAAGGTAGAGTACAGGTGGGTCCGCATCTCCTGACACTTCTCCTGAAGTTGGCGGGCGGCGAAGATCATATCCGTGGTCCCACGATGACGACGGAAGCCATATTGGCTTTCCGGCAGAAGGCCCTGTTCCAGATGGTTATTGAGGCTGTTGAGAAGGATGCGGGCGAAGATCTTCCCGGCGATGTTCAGCAGGGAGATGCCGCGGTGATTGTCGCAGACTTGGTGATTCCCTTTGCGCTTGCGCACGATGGTTGCGTCTTTGAAATCTTGCGGGACTTCACCTTGACGCCACATCTCTTGGAAGAGCGCAGTCAGGTGCTCCATCAGTTGGGGACCTCCGTGCTTGTAGACCTCAGCAGGGATTGCATCCGATTCGGGTGCTTTCCCGCTGGAAAGCTGTTGCACGGCCCTGATGGTCTCCTGGAGAGATGGCGGGAGGTCGAGGTCCACGTTGGTCTCCACTTGCGATAAACGCTCGATGGCGGCGTCGGAGATGACGGAGGGGCGGTTTAGGACGCCTCGGAAATGCTCGGCCCATCGCTGCAGGATTTGCGTCTTCTCAGTCAGGAGAGTGTTGCCGTCGGCGCTGAGGAGAGGAGCAGTGCCCTTTGTCGGCGGACCATAGACAGCTTTGATCGCAGAGAAGAAGTTCTTCCATTCGTTGCGGTCCGCGTACCCTTATATCTCCTCAGCTTTGCGAGCAGTCCAGGCGTCCTGCATCTCGCGCAGTCGTTGCTGAAGCTGGCGGCGACTGCGGTAGAAGGCAGCTTTGTTGTCCTCAGTGGGGTGATCTACGTAGGCTTGGTGTAGGCGGTTCTTCTCAGCTAGCAGATTTCTGATGGCGGCGTCGTTGTCGTCGAACTAGTCCTGGTGTTGGCGGGGAGCGCGACCAGGGACGGCGAGGGCCGTCGACTGGACCGTGTCTCGCAGTTGACACCAGCGGTTCTCCACGGAGGCGTTCTCGGCAGCGGCGGCGTCGTCGGCGGCAGCGATTGGAAGGTTGTCTAGCCTTTGAGCTAGCTCATTGCTGAAATGGAGATGGTGAGCGGGCAAAGACAACAAGGCAACATTCAGCTTACCTGGGGGTCGCTTACCTTGTGGTCTCCTGCGAGGCTGTAGGCGAATACGCATCTTCGAGATGACGAAGCGATGGTCGGTCCATCCGTCAGCACCCGCGATCGCCTTCGTCACCAGCACGTCCCGCTGATCTCGCCTCAGGACGAGGACGTAGTCCAGCAGGTGCCACTGGTGCGACCGAGGATGCCTCCAAGTGGCCTTCTCTCGCTCCGGCAGACAGAAGAACGTGTTCGTCAGGATGAGGCGGTGTTCTGCGCAGGTGCGGCGCAGGTGCGGCGCAGGTGCGGCGCAGGTGCGGCGCAGGTGCGGCGCAGCAGCAGACCATTGTCGTTTGAGCCGCGGAGGCCGTGGGGACCCAGCAGTCCTCTCAAGGCAGTATGGTCTGTGCCGACGCGGACGTTGAAGTCACCAAGGCCAATCAACTTGTCCGCCTTCGACACAGTCGCCAAGAGGGCGTGCAGGTCCTCGTAGAATTTGTCTCTGACGGAGTCGGGGTTGGTCATCGTCGGAGCGTAGGCGCTGATGATGGTGGCAAATTTGCCCCCACCCCAGAGAGGCAGGCGGAGGCTCATCAGGCGATCGTTTATGCCCTGCGGCAAACAGGACAGTCGTCCCACGATGTCGTTCCGAATGGCGAAGGCGACGCCCGCGTCCCGTCGCTCTGCTCTGGGTCGACCGCTCCAGAAGAAGGTGTAGCCGGCACCCACCTCCTCCAGTTGGCCTTGTTCGGAGAAACGGGTCTCGCTGAGTGCGGCGATGTCCACCTCGTAGCGCGCCAGTTCTCGTGCCACTAGCGCCGCCTTCCGTTCCGGTCGGTTGCTCCTCGGATTGTCTAAAAGGGAACGAACATTCCAGGCTGCCAGAGTGAGCGGGCTCACCCTGCCAGTCTGGTGACAACGAGTGGGGCGACGGAAAGGAGATGCAGAAGAAGGTGATGAAGGAGAAGAATAGGCAGAGAAAGAGGTAGAAGAGGTAGGATGAGGAGAATGAGTATGGTTGTTGTTGTTATTGGTATTGTTGTTGTTTCGATTTTGATTGTTTCGACCATGACAAGACGTCTGCAGCCCTGGATAGCCTGGAGACGGCGTTGTACCCAGCAATGTTTAGGCCACCTTTTCTAGGCCCTTCCCCTCGTGGGGGCTGGCAGTGCCGCCCCTGTATCGGGCTGCCCATGTGCCGTTGTGGCACGGCCGAACTCCACTATGGGACCACGACTTCGGGTTGTAGTGGAGAGCGACTCCAATTCGCCGTAAGCGGCGGTCTCCGACGGCGTAGGTGGGCGCTTCAAGGCGATGTCGATGTGGAGATCCATCCCGTCACCGGCTGTCCAGCGGCGTGCAGAGACGAACCACGTCACGACGGTGCCGTCGCAAGGTTCCATCCGACCTTCCATCCAGCGGAATCCGCAAACCCTGTGCACACGGCACAGCGCACAGGGCCCCCTCACCTGGTTTAGCCCGCCCGTTCGAGACGGTTGCTCGGGGTGTGGCCGCTGAGCAGAGCCCAGCTACGTGGAGCCACAGGTGAGAGTTGAGTGTCAGCAAGTGGACGCTAGGCGCAGTCTCACCTGCAAGCAAGTGAGCGACCACCACGACTATTACGTGAACCCACCACTGACACCCCTACACCCCAGGCGGATATGTAAGCTGTGAATTAATGACACTATGGATGTTTATCATGACCTTTTTACAAGTGATCATGCATTAATTCATTGTCGCCTTCCAGTTGCCATTTCCGCAAAGCCAACAGTACAACGTAGTATTTTTGACTTTGGTAATGTTAACAAGGAATTAGTAAATAACTTTAAAAGCACTCTTGAGTAGTACAGTATTTTTTCAATTATGATCTAATTTATTTCATCAATTTATTACAACGCGTAACAGAAGGTCTTCTTGACCTTATTCCTCGGAAGATGTTCAAATCGAAGGCTAATTCCGCCGCTGTCCCACACTTTCTTAAAAACAGACTTAAAAAGTTACGGAAACAGTTAAATATCCTTCTGTGAGCTCATTATCAGTTCATCTCAGAATCGTTGAAATATTTGAGCTAGCTTCGAAATGAGGCTCGCGCAAGATAGGCGAAGAGAGTCTTTAGCTATTAATGACGTGAGTGCTTCTAAATCAGTTGCTCAGCTTTTCCGTCAAAGATCATCTGCTAAGTCCCACCAAGTCATTCCGTCTTTGCTTATTACTAGCGATGCTTTCATTACAGAGGAGTCAGGCAAAGCGGAGATTTTAAATTAATTCTTTGCCAAACATTTCACTATTGAAACTGATCCGATCCCTTTAATTCCTCCGTTGTCTTATGCTTCTCTTAGCTTCATTAATTTTTCTCCTGAATGTGTTCAAAAACTGATAAACCATCTTCTTTACTCTCACTCAGTAGGTACGGACAATATCCCAAACTCTTTTTTAAAACAGCTATGAGATTTTCCTCCTCTGCTTAACAAAATCTTTTCAGTATTTCTCGTAAATAGCTTCTTCCTTGAATATTGGAAAACTTCTATTATTATTCCAGTATTTAAGTCTGGCTGTCGTTCTGACGTACAGAACTATCGAGGTGTCCATAAAACACCCTCTCTCACCAAAATCTTTGAAAAAATTGTCGCTGTAAAAATTATCGACTTCTGCATAGCCAATCGAGTTATAAGTTCTTCCCAGCATGGTTTTTTACCAGATCGCTCTCGTGAAACATGTCATCTCTCGTTTGCCAATCTACTTACCTCTCTTCGTAATGATCATCTATCTGTTGTCGTTATTTATTTTGATCTTAGTAAAGCCTTTGATAAAGTACCACATAAAAGATTCTCGGTTAAATTAGAAGCTATGGGAATTCGCAGTCCACTAATAGACTTTCTCAGGTCATAACTGTCTGATCGTAAACAAAAGGTTTTGGTGGGATCTTCACATTCCAGTGAAAGCCCTATTGTAAATGGTGTCCAACAAGGTACCGTTTTAGGTCCCCTTTGATATTTCTTCAGCAGTTAAACATTCTCAATCATTTATTTATGCCGATGATCTCAAATGTGTATATTCTTTCAAAAAATTTACGAGCCTTCATTGCCTGGAGCAAATTCATGCTGACTTGCTTGTTCTCTCAGCTTGGAGCTCAAAATGGCTAATGGAATTCTCTCCGTCTAAATGTCGCTATATGTGTTTTGGACCTGATAGGCTACCCCAACCAGTGGTCTTTCGAGGCACACCTATGACTGAATGTACCACCATTAAGGATTTAGGTTTAAGCTACATTAGTAATCTCGATCTCTCGCCACACGCTGACAGAATTACAGCCAAAGCTGCCCAGATTTGTGGCTTTATTTCTTACAATTTCTATCTTTCTGAAATTAAATTAAGGCTCTATCGTATGCTTGTACTTCCCACTCTCGAGTATTGTTGCCCATTCTTCGGCTTGATGAATGAGGCTAGTCGTTTAAAAATGGAAAATGTCCAAAGACGTTTTTCTTTACCGACGTCTTCCGGTGATCATTTTCGGTATAAGGGACTTCTGTCTATCATGCCGGGTGGTGGGGGGGGGGGGTTGGAGAATTGGGTTTCAGTGCCTCCAAGGTCCATGCATCATATTCTTCGCCACAACTTCATGCGAATCATTGTCGACGTCGATATCAGGTAATTCCGCGCATACTGTGTCGTCGATTTCGTTGGAGGCGATCTTGTTATAGAGCCAGACCAGGAAATTTGCATGGGGCAGTCCCCTTTTTTGCTGTTCCACCTAATACATCCAGCAGCGCACAGAATCAACCACCTCGTGTTTCACCATGAAGTTCATCAGCGATTGCAGTTTCTTCCTGAAACTACGTGCTGTGATGTCATACCTATTTACCGTCGATAGCCAGGAGATAAGAGCTGATAAGCATCCCTTAAGCTGGATTGCATGTGAGTGTCATGAGTAGGTCTGGACGTCCGCACTGGCAAACGCAAGCAATTGCACCTCGAGCGTACTCGAACATTAGACCTGGCCTGGAATGCTGTTCGTTTTCATTTAGCCTCATGCGTGCTACTGAGCGGAAGAAAATAGAATCCGTTAAACACTTTTTTACTAAGAGAATTTTAACCCCGGAACACCGACATTTGTCTTACCAAGAACGTTGCCGGCTTACAGGCCTCGATCCTTTATGGTTCCGTAGATTACAAAAGGGACTATTTTTGCTATTTAAACTCTTATATAATCACACATTTAACCCACTCACCTCTTTAAGACATCATATGCACTCACGACGTAACAGTCACCGTGAGGTCTTTTTATTTCTGCCTCTGGCACGTACTGTTAAATATCGTCGGTTCTTTTCTGTAAATGCAATTGCTATTTGGAATAAACTACCCATGAGTGTGAAAACTCTGCAAAATTTTCCTTTATTTAAGAGAACTATTACTCGATTTTTGCATTCAGAAAAGCTCCCACAAATTTTGTGTGCCGAAAACTCTGATCGACTGTACCGTAGCGATGGCGTTTGTGGTCTCTGAACACTATTGCCGGTCTCACCAGCGGTTCCTCAACGCCTCTACTTTGGCTATCCGCAGCTTCATGAAAGGAATTTGACGTCCGATGATCTCCGATACCGTGCAACCTCCCCCCTTCTTGACGGTCGATATTCTACCACCGCCGGCAATTTTTTCTCCTGAGCCCTCCAAACCATAAAAACCACCATCAACTATATTTTTATCCCTTTAGCTCAGGAGTTTTTTTCACTGCCGGTCGGATTTATGTTTAATCGCTTCCCTTGACAATGCCTGTAAAATGGCGTTAAATAAAAAATTTATTTATTTATTTAACATATGGCGTGGACTGTCTGTATATGTGGATGACGAAAGCGTTAGCCTTACAACGTTATCTGTATTACCGTCATTTACAACTGCATCATGCAAAGCAATGTATCCTTCAGAGCGCAGCTTGGTCTGATTCAAGCAAAGGTAAAACAGGCGTGCAGTTTCGATTTTTGCATGCATATCCACTATGCAGTGATGAAGCAATTTACGGGATTTCAAAAGGGCGATTACTAACATTCTGTCGAATCATAAGTCGGTAGCAGTAGTGGTTCATTGCGCTGCATTTCATATGCGTTACCTCGTCACTGACTAGATTTGTCATCTTAACGTTGAAGTAATATATATTACTTGTTATTGGTAGGATATTTATTTTTAAGATTACTTGTTCAGCTGCAATTCGTGAACACGCTGCCTTCTCAAATTGCGCCGTTGACACAATTCGTAAGAGTGCAATTGATTGGTTCCACGGCGCGCGTGACAGATACGGTGGCCGATCAAAGCGGAGAGACAATACCACTGCAAATGCCACGGTAAATTAATTGACTTGAGTCTTTATAAGCCACTTTCAGCTTCCCGTCAGCTACACCTCAGCCGAAGAATATATGATACAATCTACTTCCGAGGACACTGTAAGTGAGCGTTTCTTTATATCTATTAAACCTGCATTTATTCGAGCCTATCAACTTCAAACTACTTAGATCATAAAATATACTACTAAAATGCCTTATTTCAGTAGTATGTTTTTTGACAATTTAATTAATAGGACGCTGTGCTTTATTTTATTGTAGATACCCGCCACCGACATGGAAGGATTACCAGATATGTCCCTTGAGAGGAAATGACTATTTGTACGTATCAAATTTTCATCTTTATCGATCAATAAATTTTCTTTAACTAATAAATGCCGTTCAAGTGTGCTGATGGACATGGTTCGTTGGGGGGTTTGCAATCACGCGTGCAGGTCCGCTAACGGTCGCGGGAGATATTGGCTTTGGGAAGGCGAGCCGGAATGAAACATGACATATTTGGCGAAATGGGTTCGCTAGAAGGTAACAAAGGAATAAAATAGGACAGATAGGAAAGGGGTGATCAGGATTATAACGCGAGTAATTAGACGTTAATGGATCGGCATTACGGTCAGACAGTCGAATATGGCCATGGGTGGGGGCAAAAAACGATAACTATAAGGCGTCCCCCTGCGCATTTTTTTTGTCTATGAGGGGGCCAGAGGGGGCCACATCGGGGATTTGCCCCGCCATAGCCCCCTCTCCAGCCCCCTCATAGCCCCCTCTGGCCCCGCCATAGCCCCCTCATGAGGCGGGGCCATGAAGGGGCCAGAGGGGGCTAGTGCTGGCAGGGATATCCCTCGGCACCATCTCGAAAAGTAAATGGATACTGCGTTGAAATCGGTCTCCGACTGCCCGTATATATGGTATAAACTTGCCCTAAAATCATTAGTTTTCTAACAGTTGTTGTCGTACCGTCGTTTACAGCAGCATCACACAGTGTGAATGCTGAGTACGGAGGCGTGTTGGACGCTGGTCTGCTGTTTCCTCGCTGGCGCCATTCGGTCACTCCCAGATGATAGTGTTCATTCTGTTGTGAACGA